CTCAGAAGTCGGTTTGAACAATCCGGATAAGTGCAAGTAAGTACCATTTTGATTAGCTGCCGTACCTACAATGACTGTGCACTGTGTAAACAATGAGTGACGTATACGCACGAGAGATCACTTCCGGCGATTGCGTAAACTTCGCCAGAGCGCGTACACACCTCACTCACCGGATGCCGTGCGCGTGCCCAAAGACAGTTGGACATAGTGGTGTATTAGAGGTAAAAAATGATATAAATACTGTTCAGTTTCTCGCACAAACCGATCGTTTCGTGTCTTAGGACATCAATGTGTCGTCACGAGCCGCAGGGTTTAATTTGGATTTGTCTGTGCATGTTTTTTTTACACTCATAGACTTTGTTAACATTGCCATGCATTATAAGACTGACAGACTGCAACGGCTGGACTTAAAAATCATCATTTGTGTTCTTCTGAAGAAACAAAGTCGCCTACATCTTGGGATGCCCTGGGGGGTAAGCAGATAAACATCACATTTTCATTTTGGGGTGAACTATCCCTTTAACCATATAACAGTGGAGTTGTGACAATTGTAATGTTACTGTTTGTGATAATTAACTTAAATTTATATCTGCATACTAACTCAAGCTACTGTCAAATAAAGTAACATTATTAATATTGCAGCCTGCACTGCAAACTGTACTGAAGATAGCACAGTCAAAGTCAGGCAACACAAACCTGTCTCATAATTTGAAACAATATCACTTAACAGAACATGCAAAAACGAATAAATACATTTTCTATTAAGATTAAGATTTATTTTGTTAAGGAAAAATGACTGGAGTGTGACGTCATGTTCTGACCATAAAGAGTCGTTTAAAACCATAAGCAATGGTCTGGTTTCTACAACTTTCACTTAGGAGCAAAAATCTGCATTTAAACATAAAAGAAATATAATTATCGATGTCGACTGATATGATTTTTTTATTTTTTTTGGGCATATCGCCTAGCCCTATTGTTATATTGGTTAATATAGATGAACATGAATAAATATTATCCTTGTGTTCATAATGTGAAAACATATCTTGGCTGTTTTAAGTAGATTTTTTACTGTATTTTACTTCTTGCGTGAAAAATTAGGAAACTGTTTGCAACTTAAATATCATGAGATTTACACTAATGTTCAAAAATTTGCAGTCTATAATAATTTTGTTTTTGAAAAAAAGTATTTTATGCTTGCCAAAACTCCATTTACTTGCCTCTGAAATATTACTATAATTTAATATAACTGTTTTCTATTTAAACATAGTTTACAGTGTAATTTATTCCTGTGATGCAAAGCTGAATTTTCAGCATCATTACTCCAGTCTTCAGTGTCACATGATCCTTCAGAATTGATTCTAATATGCTGATTTGCTGCGCAAAATAACATTTCTGATTATTATCAGTGGTGAAATCAGTGCTGCTTAATATTTTTGTGGAAGCAGTGTTACATTTTTTTCAGGATACTGAATAAAAAGTTCAAAAGAACAGCATTTATTAGAAAATAAAATCTTTTCTAGAGTTATTTAAAAAAAAATCTTGCTGACCCCAAAATTTTAAAATGTAAATGAGTTGTTTACCAAGCCTTTAAGTGCCAGCGGTCAGAAATACGCCATGTTTTTCTTGGTCTGAACTGCGTTTGTTTATTCAGGCTGCATGCTGTATTTGGCTGGTGGTGAATTTCCAGACGGCTCGGCCAGTAGAGAGATGTGGCGCTACGACCCATGTTTTGACTCCTGGTCAGAGATGGCACCCATGAACGTGGCGCGATCAGAATTAGGTAATGGCCACCAAATTTGTATAAACGTTTACAAAGAGCAGTTGGTTGATGCTGTATTCCATGCAGCTCCAAAAGATGGGTTTCCAATGAGTCAAAGTTACATAATAAAAACTATTTATCAAATGTTTCCATGTAACTGATCTTCTCTGTTCACACACCTTTTGAACAATTCTCCTCAATTTGGTTGCAAGAAAACGTTTTTGTTGACTGTAAAACACCTGTAGTGCTAATGGTAGCATTGCCATTTTTTTTTTCACATCATTTTCCAAATATCAGAAAACTGAATGCTTTCATGGCCAGAAATTGGCGGAATTAAAGGTGGGGTAAGCGAGTTTTCAAAAACACTTTAGAAAACTGATTCAGGCCGAATAGCAACACACACTTGTAGCCAATCAGCAGTAAGGGGCGTGTCTACTCATGATGCAGAGGAGAGAGTTCAGTGCACAGGACGGACATTAGCCGAACCGAGCGACAGAAAAATAGAGATGGCGGATAAAAAAAAACAAAAGAGGAAAACGTCTGTGGAACAAAAGAAGGCTTAAGGCAAGAAGTAGGACCCGTGTAAATATCGGATCAGCTTTCCAGTGCTGGAGAGAACTCAAGGAGTGTACTCTAGTACACTGGACGCGACAAAGCGACCATTGAAAATCATTTGAAATTTGTGTCAATACGTCATGAATAGACCGCTGCAGCAGTTTTCTGTCGGGAATTTGTCGTGTCATGCCGCATCCAGTGTAGACCATAGATATGTGTGTGTGTGTGTATATATATATATATATATATATATATATATATATATATATATGGTGTAGACTGCATCACTGATTATGAGTTCAATAGTATTGTGTCGCGCCACTAGCATCTGGTGTAGACACGGTGTAACATTGGTTTTGCTTTGTTTCACAGAACTAATCGTTGCCTGGGTTGCGTACGTATGTTTGGGGCGGAGCTATCAAAATAGGGGCGAGACCCTTTTGGGGTAGGGGCGTGTTTGTTTTGGTGATTTCAAATGTCAGCATCGGCTACCAGAAATCACTTACCCCACCTTTAAGTAGGACTATCCCACATCCAACTTGGATGGAACGCAGCATTTCAGCCCACCCTATTGTTTGGAAACAAACAAGACCCTCTTGTTTCAAATATTAAAATTAAGAGCGTTGTTCTGTTTTTCAGGGTTGGTGATGCTGGATGGATATGTGTTCGCTGTGGGCGGCTGGGAAGGCCGTTCTCGCCTGGACTCTGTTGAGTGTTATAATCCACAGACAAACACGTGGCAGTTTATGGAATCGGTCAAGATGGCGGTCACCAGTCCGGCTGTGGTGGCGCTGGATGGATTACTCTATGTGACAGGTAACAGGTTTGGTCCCACATAAGCTCCAGACAATTTGATTCCAGAATATTCCAGGTTAAATACAACTGTATGGACAGCATGTGGCCTGATTTCATTTACCACAGCAAATAATGTAAATATAGACTATAAATGTCTGTAATGCGCGCTGGTTGCACTGCCAATCAATGCTAGTAGAGCAAAAATAACGTGCTATCCATAATCTTGGTTCAATTATCAGCTGATTTTCACATGTGTGAATGATTCTCAAGACATTTTTATGCCTGATTCTGATTTCAGGATTAGAATAATGGCCAGTGTCTGAAGAAAATGCATAACCTACGTTTTTTTGCTGCATTATGTAGGTGTTTTGCTTTCAAAACTGACAAAAAATGACAGATTTAGAGGAAAGCTCTTTGACGTTAAATTGAGTATTTGAACATATTGTTCCACTCCTATCCAGATCATAAGTTATACATTCTGAAAACGTTTGACATTAGATTGTCTTTGTTTTTTGCTAAGTGCATTAAAGGGGTCCTATTATGCTCTTTTATAAAGTCTTGATTTTGTTTTGGGAGTGTACTAGGCTCTCATACTAGGTTGTTTGAAAAACGCATAATTTTTCACATATTTTACATTATTACAACACCTCTCTCCCCAGTCTGGCATGAACGGCTCGAATAGTTCCTGTATCAAATGAAGGCCCGCCTTCTGAAATACGAAATGTGCTGTGATTGGTTAGCTGGGCCAGTGTGTGTTGTGATTGGCAGCACTCGGCGCCTGGTCGGGAAATGTCATGCCCCTTACCATAGCCGCCTGCTGCGAGCGTCAGTGTAAATATTGTGTCAAAATCAAATCAATTAGAGCGCGATTTTAAACCCGAATGATTGTAAGCACTCGGAGTTCGCCTGCCTTGGGAAAGCTAGCGTGTCTCCAACATAGTGATAACACTCGTTGCCTTCTCTAGTGCAGATCAGCCAGGTCTCGTCCCATTCGTCGATCTTTCTGATATCACAAATCCCGGAAAATATGCGTTGTAGTCCAAACGAGTCGTTCGTTGTAGTTTTTGAAAAGTGATTTCTGTTAAATAAAATATCTCCTTTTGAAGTGGACTTTGAGCTTTGTAACTTAGCCGATCTTTTTTTTTATGCTCAAACAGCAACATTACAGACTAACTAAAGTTGAAAAAGTGAAAACGCATAATAGGACCCCTTTAAAGCTAATACCTATGTATAATTTGACACGTCATTCTTATTTTGTGAAGGACTGTACATGATAGAAAGTTTTTACTGATAATTTTGTACTCTGCATCATGCAATTAGGTAATAATTGGCCTTTTTGCAAAACAGCAGAAATACGTTTTTTTTCAAGGGCTGTGTAATATTCCCTTCTGAAACCACAGGAGGTGCTGTTTTAGAAGATGGTGATGGCACAAACTTGGCGCAAGCGTACAACCCTAAAACATGCGTGTGGACCGAGGTGGCGCCCATGCAGATCGCCCGCTCTGGATCTGCTGCCTGCATCCTGAAGGGCAAGATCTACGTCATAGGTTAATATGGAGGCTTTTATTTCTTGAGCCGTTTGAGTCTTATCCTGTAGAGCAGTGGATCACAGTTGTTCCTCTCTAGGCGGCTGGCACGCTTCCACCGAGAACACGGATAAGGTGGAGAGCTACGACCCCAAGACCAACAAGTGGACCATGTGTGCTCCCATGAAGGAGAGACGCTATCGACCCGGCGTAGCGGTGGTGGATGGAAAGATTTACGTTTTAGGAGGAGAGGAGGGATGGGACAGGTGAGATATACTACTCTAGAGCCCTGTGAACTCCATTTGATTTTCCCCCCAAACTCCCTTTTTTTTTTTTCCTTTTAAGTTTTCTTTATTATATTTTAATAGTTCAGTGGGGCACTTGTATAGCTTATTATGTAATATTGCTGTGTGTGCATGTTAACGATCTGCTACAAAGCAGAAAGTCCACACCAAAGGGAGTTAATTGCTCTAACAGTAATCTCTTGCTTGAAACGCCTTGTTTGTTGTCCTGCCATTATCTCTGGGACAAAGCTTACGTCATCATGTTAAATATATATTTTCATAATGCCCATCTACTGGCCCATCTTTAAAGAACTTCGGTATGTCGAGCTCTCATTGTCGTCACACTGGTACAACAGTACCGATGGCATAATTGCATTAGATGTAATACTGTTTACAGCTGCTCGCGAAGCCTTTGTGAGCTGAAACACGATTATGGTATTTCGATACATGCTCTAAGCAGTTGACCAATCAGAGCAGACTAGGCTTTTCAGAAAAGAGGCAGGTGCTTAAACAGCATTATAGGCATTTTATTCCCTTTAAAATTATTAACATGTAAATGAGCGTAATTCAGGCATTTTAATCAAAGAGTACGTCTAAGCAATTGAATTCATAAAAATGAATAAATTTTTTTAACAATAACAGGGCCTTATGAAATGTTTTATTTTCTTAGAAATCCTCTGTTCTGTTTTAATTTTTCTGGATTTTGTTTTATAATGTAATGCAGATTTATTATCAAAAAGGGTGGTAATCAAACGAATGTGGAAAACTTTAATGATTTAATTCGTTTTTTAAAATGTAATCAAATCTGTTTTTTTCTTTTTGGTGCTCCACAACAGTTAAACCACAGGCAATGACTGCCTGGTCATGAACTGCATTTTGTTTATTTTATTAATTTTTTTTATTAATAACAATATACAAACTGGGATAAGAACGCATATCAATTCAACTTAACCCCCACCCTCCCTCACACACCCAGCCTAACCCCCGCAGTCTCATTAAAATGGGGTACATAACGGCTAGAAAAGTTAACAGAAAACCAAATCAAGAAAGCGAAAGAAAAAAAAAAGTTAAATAAAAATACAGTGTTAAGGCATTCATTCTGAGTCCTGATTGTGGTTTTGTGCAATATACTTGGAGATCTTCTCAGCAGCTGTAGTCCAGATCCTTAATGTAGATGTAGCTGAAGATAGTTTAATAAAATGAAATGGTGAAATGCTGTCGAAGTGACTCCTAGAGCAGATGGAGGTGAAGTTTGTGTTATTGTCCTCATATAGTGAGAGCGTTGCATATGCTTGAGTTTGTGTAGTAAACAAAACCACACCGTTCATTCCCACAGAGACTCAACACGCAGACTTCATATCTAACTAGTCTTTTTTGCAGTTGCAGCTGTTCACAGGCACTCGCCCGTATCGTGGGATTTATTCATTCACATTTGCCAAATTCCGTGAGGTTACACTGTATTTTATTCTGTTTTCCACATTGTGGAAGTCATAGGGTCCTACTACACTCAATCTAGGGCTGCACAATTAATCAAATTTCTAATCGCGATTACAATTATGGATGCCACAATTTTGGAATCGTTCAAAGCGGCAATTAATCGTTCAAAGTCCACTTATGTTATTCTGCGTTTTTTTCTTTCTACATGTTATCTTAAGGGTTTTTCCCGTTATTGTAATTTTAGTTTTAGTATAACATTATAATGCCATTCATATTTAAAGGGGTCCTATTATGCTTTTTCATTTTTTCAACTTTAGTTAGTCTGTAATGTTGCTGTTTGAGCATAAAAAAGATCTACGAAGTTACAAAGCTCAAAGTCCACTTCAAAAGGACATATTTTATTTAACAGAAATCACTTTTCAAAAACTACAACGAACGACTCGTTTGGACTACAACGCATATTTTCCGGGATTTATTTCCACATATTTTCGTCCCATTCGTCGATCAAATATCGACGAATGGGACGAGACCTGGTTGAGCTGCACTAGAGAAGGCAACGAGTGTTATCACTATGTCGGAGACACGCTAGCTTTCCCAAGGCAGACGAACTTAGAGTGGTTACAATCATCCGGGTTTAAATCGCGCTCAAATTGATAATGGTAATTTTAAATATGTAAAAAAAATTGTATGAGAGCCTTTTCTAGTACACCCCCAAAACAAAATCAAGACTTTTGTAAAAGAGCATAATAGGACCCCTTTAAAGAAGAAACCAATCCGATGTGTATTTGACATTTGAGGCTTAATACTATAGAAAAGCACAAAGTTTTTCAGTTAGCATGTTTTCAGCTTATTTATTTTCATATAAAAATACGGCATGCAGTTGCATCAAACAATGGTATAAACATCATTCAATGTAAATTGTGATAATCGTAATTAATAATCGCAATTACAATTTCAAGGGAATAATCGACAATTCAGATTTTTGTCATAATCGTGCAGCCCTAACTCAATCTGAGGCCTGCTAGCTATGTCCACGGTCTGTCGAGTGTTTCTGACCGAACTGACTTCCTCTGCAGGTATCATGACACTATCGAGCGGTACTGTGAGGAGTCGGACAGCTGGGAGATCGTGGGAGAAATGCCCACCAGCCGCAGCTGGCTGAGTTGCGTCTCGCTGCAGCTCCGGAAGGACTCTCACGTGGGCAGCCGTCCCGGCACTGCCTTGGAGACGGAGTTTCCTGTGGACTGAGAGCACCGGGGCTCCACCCGCATTACTGTCGGCCCCGGGACACGAGGCCAGGGGGCAGCTTTCAGAGCACCCCGCCCCACGAGAGTTATTTTAAGGAACGGAAAATGTCCGACCCAGACGCTGGAGGGTCTTCAGAAAATATTTGTGTCATATGCTTTCTCCAGTGCAACCCTCTGCCACGGTGTGAAGCTGGATGGATTGATGATATCTGTGGTGATTGTAAGTCTGTGTGTGTGTGTGTGTGTGTGTGTGTGTGAGAGCCGCCATCCCAGAGTCTCCACAGTATCAGTTCAATGTGATGTTCAAGTGACGTACAGGGTTGCTTCCATGCGCTGACTTATACAAGTACTTGTTTGTTTTCGAACAGTGTTGAAGTGAAATGTTTTGTACGGTGATTTTTGTATTTATTAGAAGTTTTTTGTTGTATTTAGAGATTTATGGAGTAACTAGCACAGATACACTGAAACGTGTTTAAAAAGGAAAGTGCACCCAAAACTGACAATTCTGTCATCATTTACTTGCCTTCAAGTCTTGTATGAGTTTTTCTTTGGTTGAACACAAAATGATGGTAACCAGTTTGTGGTCCCCATTGGTTTCCATAGTATGGAGAAAAAGACACACATTATGGAAGTCAATGGGGACCAGAAACTGTTTGGTTACCAACATTCTTCAAATGATCTTCTTTTGTTTTTAACAGATGAAAGAATTTCATATAGGTTTAGAACAACATGCGGGTCAGTAAATGATGACAGAATTATCGTTTAGGGTGAACTATCCCTTTAAATCCGTAATTCGTCTTCATATTGTGCATAGTATGTATGTATACCCAAATAACCTTTACATTTGCCAAAATGTTTCGAATACAACTGAGCACAGTGCGCTGGGTACTGTATCCCACAATGCAATGTGTTCAGCTTGACCGAAGAATGAACCTGAATTACAGCTGCAGTTTTACCATCGTTGCTCGACTCATTATTAGTTTGGTTTTCTTAAAAGACTTCTTTAGCTCAGACTTTTGAGTTAAAAAGGAAAATAAATGACAAGCAGTTCATGCATATGTATACAATGCGTGAATCAGATAATGCTAGGTTTATGATCATTACAATCTGAAATCAGACCGGATTCTCTCATATATAAAACTTAAAATAATATTTGTGACGTGATCTCAATACTGACACATTCTTTCTACATACAGAACCGTTAAGGTCAGTTATAATTTTTTTTTATACATTTTTAATAAACGCTGCCGTTTTGAAATTACTATTCATCAAAGAACCCTGAAAAAAAATACGTATCTTTTTTTTTTACACAAATACGAAGCAGCACAACAGTTTCCAACATTGTTAATGTTGAAATTATTAATAATTGTTAACATAAGAATTTTTTTGTTGAGCACCAAATGAGCATATTAGAATGATTTCTTAAGGATCATGCGACACTGAAGACTGGAGTAATAATGACCACCAAAAACTACAATTACATTTTTTTTTTAATTGTTACTGTATTTTTAATTAAATAAATGCAGCCTTGGTGAGCCCAAGAGATTTCTTTCAAAAACAAACAAAAATCTTACTGACGCCAACATTTATAACAATTACATACAATCACTAGTGAAGTACATAATTATAGTATACAAATAGAGATGCAGGACATGTATTCTGGAGTTTGTGTTTTATTACAAGTCTGTACAATGATCTATATATATATATATATATATAACTTCATAACTTCTATTTTAAATGTTCTACCATGCCAAACGTAATTCTCATAATTAAATAGAAAAACAGCTATTATATTTTTCTTAATATAAATGTACATGTGCTCGCCCAGTGGCAAAATGAGAAAGTGACAAGTAAACACTTAAAAACTCAACATACACAAAACCAATCAAAATGAGAATTAAAACACAGGTGGTAAGTGACAAACGAGGGGAACATCAAAACTGCAGGTGTGCGGAAGAGGTCTCAGACCAGCAGTCTCTCGATGGCCATCTGCACCGACTGAATCTGAGGCTTGAGCTGAGAGCCTTCCTTAATGGTGACCGAGGTGGCGATGACGGGCCGGGACACCCCGCACGCGCGGCCCAAGGCCTGCTTGGAGCGCACAAACACGTACGGGACGTTCTTGTCCTCGCACAGCAGAGGCAGATGCAGGATGATCTCCAGAGGTTCAGCATCGGCAGCCATCACGATGAACTCCGCAATGCCTCGGTTCAGGGTTTTAGTGGCTGGAACCAAACCACAAGAAAGTTAGTCACGTCCCGTCGCAGCCAGACTTCTGCTTTGCCTGCAAGGACAGTTTCTAGGATGTCTACCTACCCTCATTGGCCCCTTTTCTCAGTTGCTTGTAATTGGCCGCTTGCTGAACCAGGTCTAGGATGGTTTTGGTGAGAGTGGCGTCCGCCAGAGGATACGCTTTAGGATTCACGTCTGATTCAGCCTGGAAGAGACCAGCATTTGTGAAGTCAAACACAACACAGACTACATAAACATGAATGAACACATGTGCCTCTATGCGTCCCACCAGCTCTGGTGGCTACAATTAACCTCACATGCTGTAAACCATGTTACATGCGCCACACGTGGGTTGATTTACATTAATGAAACACATTAAAACACCACGAGCGTAAAAGCATCCCCATAAAACCCAACCATGCAAAAGAAAACAGCAGCACGTGCTGAACGGATAGACATAGGCACGCACTGCACACATTCTATCCTAGTCGATATCTAACCGCTAACGCTAGTTAAACACTGTCATTATGAAATACACACTTACCATTTCTGCGAGCTGTGATTTAGATGTCTGTAGAGATCAACGCGAGTGGTCCTCTCGGCGTGTGCTTCACGGAGGACAAGCGGACCGCTGCGGAGTTTAGTAAACGGATCGTGAGGCGAGCAGCGGACGTTCTGCGCGTGCTGCCGGCGCATCGACGTGCGTCATCGAAATGAGACCGCGAGAGCAAAAGTTTTGTAGCGATAGGAGAGTATCGAGTTACAATTTTGCTGCAAAAGGTCTCTTTAAAAAAAAAAAACGGAAGACTGCATTACTAACTCTTTTTTAAAATGTATGTTACTGAATAAATAATAACAATATAGCCCATGAACGTTCGTTCAAATACAGATACAGCAACATGCAATGCATTCAAAACTAAAACGGGAAAAAGAACAAGAAAACAATACTACAGAATTGGGTATAAAAATGACAAATGATGATGCCAAGCCCTCAGAGGACCTCAGAGGATGCCAACCCTGAAACAACATACAGAACTACCACATTATGCTATAAGTTTGATTGCATCATATAATAATTGCTGTGAGTGTTTACTATTGTCACTTTGCATTATTGACACACTATTTTCCTAATTAATGCTGTACAGTTGCTTTGACACAATCTGTATTGTTAAAAGCGCTATATAAATAAAGGTGACTTGACTTGACAAATAAATACTAACTCATAGCTATATTACTCTGTACTTTCTGTACACCTTGCAGTCAAAAGATTTAAACGTGTGTGTGTGTGTGTACCTGTTTTTCTATTCTGGTGGGGACTTAAACCTGAATACACACAGACTCATGGGGACTCGTGCCACGGTGGGGACCTAAATTGAGGTCCTCACGGGTAAACAAGCTAATAAATCACACAGAATGAAGTTTTTTGAAAATCTAAAAATGCAGAAAAGTTTCCTGTGAGGGGTAGGTTTAGGTGTAGGGCGATAGAAAATACGGTCTGTAGAAAAACCATTACGCCTATGGAGAGTCCCCACAAGGATAGCTGACCAGACGTGTGTGTGTGTGTGTGTTTGATTTATTTGTAAACGTTCCTTTATGAGTGTGACATTTGGGCCAAATTATAAGTAAATAAAAAATAAAAGTATTTTCCATCCTCTTTAGAACATTCAGTGAGGCCAAAAAGTAAATTTTCCCACAAAGCAGTTTTGAACACTAAATATTTTTATTGACATATTTCTGTATCTCTAGATACTGTATCTAGATCTAGATTGTATCAAATGTATGTACTGACATGTCTTGCTCTTTCCTGGTACGTCTTGGCTATTTTATAGCATCTCATCAATATTAAACAGCTCGTGGTTCCGGTGTGTCCATATATGGTGTCTCGTCGAGGCGCAGTGGATTGTGGATAGGTCTTCGGATCGGCCAGAACTGTCTTTCCCAGCGACTGAAGGAGAGAAGCGGAAATATGAGGGCCTTCAAAGGTTTCGCTCATCTCTCCACGAGTCCTCTTTCTCTCAGTCTGCGCTGCTTTCTCCTCTCTTTTCACATGTCGTGTTTCAAGTACATACGAAGCTCTTAGGGTCACCAGAAGCTTCTCGTCGCGGGGTTGCTAGCGTCTGTTATGAGCCGGTGTTTGAACACGCAGCTGCTGTGAACTTTCCTCTGGAAAACCTCAAATAAAGGCCAAGTCATTCAAAGGACCCCAGAGGCGTGTGTTCTTTGGACGGCTCTTCCAGTGACGGTTGTTTGTAAATCCCCTGTGCTGTTGTGTTTCTGTGATGGAGGTCATGGCACAGTGATACTGTAACGTTACTTCCAGTGACAGACCTCACGAGCACACGTGACCCTTTGAACACCCGGGGCACGTTCAAGCTCAAACCGGTGTGTACCGTTTTGTTACAGTTTCTGGGTTGAACGACATGTTTCCTGGAAACGGTGTGCAACGGGGTTTGAGATGCGTTTTCTCGTTTGGTGGGTGTGTCAAACATGTCAGCCCAATCAGCAGCAACATGTATATAAACCACGTGGTATTAAAGAGGCAGCTCGCACAATGTAATTAACATCAAAATACATTTACAAGAGCAAGTATATTGATTGCGCATGTTTATTTACATTAAAGGTGTCACGAATTCGGCAGATGGATCCACATGTCTCACGTCTTGTCATCCCCGTTACAGAAGGCAAAATAACTGAAATAATAAGAGTACATGTATAGATCTGGAACTCTTTAAGTCTGTCTAAATATAATTTAGTAATTGCAATGTGCTTCTGGTCCATCCTTTCCTCATGAAGGTTTAATGTCAGACACTGATTAATGTAACATAACAATACTATACATATTTATATATTAGTAATGAATGTGTGCTGTGTTTCAGACCACTAAAGGTGCGTCAGCATTCAGGATCTGTCGGGGTCTGGAGGCAGTGGGCGCCAGTTTGAGGTCAGTTTCATATTTATACATGACTGCTTTGAAACACTTTCTGTATTGTACTCTCTCGAATATTTCTCTCAACATCATGCTTTTTTAGTTTTTTAGTGTGACGTACAGAGGGAGCACATGGTCTATTCTCTGGACTGTCTAAGGGATGATTTGTGAGTGTCTCTGTAGTAAATGAGCTTTAGTAATAAAGATAAGAGACCCGGTCACACTTTAGTTTGGGGGGAAATTCTCACTATTAACTAACTATTAACTATGACTTTTGTCCTAATTACAGCATATTAATAGTTAGTAATGTAGTTGTTAAGTTTAGGTATGGGGTAAGGGATCTAAAATATGGTCATGCAGAATAACGTACTAATAACATGCTGATATGCATGCTAATAAGCAACTAGTTAATAGTGAGAATTGGTCTTTAAAATGAAGTGTTACCTAAGACCCAATGTACATTAAACGCACAACAGTTAAAAGGTTTGGGGTCTGTAAT